GCAGATTAATTCTTCACTCATGTAATGGATTTAAGGGAAGCCAAGAGTGCCCCAGGATAGCATCTCTAACCTTTGAGGTTGACCACAAACCAGATAACCAAGCTCTTGCAAGAAACCTCAAGGCCATCTTCGCATAGACTATACTAGTCTGTAAGACAGTGGGTCAGACCTATTAAGCAAGTCTTAAGTTTCTGTTGGAAAGCAAGAATTCCCTCAATGGAATATATATCAAAGAATAGTAATCTGTCTACCAATATGCTAAACCATTTCCAGTCAAAAAGAGAGAAAAGATGCAGAAAGATATCTCCAGCTCACCAACTCAAAACAACAGTGAAGAGACTCATTTACTAGTCCATGGGCTCCTCAAGGAATAGGAACCTTCTTTGTTTTCCCATCAGCTAACTCAGTGCCTAGCATCTATTAGGTTTTAAAAATTATGGGGTTAACAAATTCTGCTCTAAAATTATAAATATCTCCCAGAGGGTATTAAACTAATTATAATTATCACTTAGACCACTGTGGGCTCGACAGGTATGTGGTTAACAACACATTTGAAATGAACAAATCTCAGAAATTATCAAAGCATCTATTTTGGGATGTTAAGGACTATAGAACAAACCAGAACATCTCCTTGGTTCCTGGAAAATTAACCACAAAGATCATTATACCAAGAGAAATTAGGATACAGTTAAAGGCCAAACTCCAAAATGTGCATGAAAATTAAAAACAATGCATAGAAAAGCATTAGTGTTTTGTTTTCTTTTGTTGTTTTTGTTTTATAGAAACAGAGTTTTGTTCTGCCACCTAGGCTGGAGTGCAGTGATGCTATCACAGCTCACTGCAAATTTGAACTCCTGGACTCAAGCAATCCTCCTGCCTCAGCCTCCAGAACAGATGGGACTACAGGCATGAGTCACTATGCCTAGCTAACATTAGATTAATTAATTAAATGCTGTTCATATCATACATTTATTCTAGAGTGTTCGAATCTAATTGCTGTTAAACTGAAGTGAAATTTTAGTGAGCATAAAGACTTGTACTCCCAAATACACACCCAAAACGCATCCTTTTTATGAGCCTAAGCACAATACATAAATCCAGTAAGTATTTACCAAATAAATAATCTGTTTTGATTTCATCATTGACTCAGGAGTGGTTTAGCATCGTGCTGTTTAGTGTTCATGTCTTTGTGGGTTTTGGGGGAAGTTTGTTGGTGTTGATGTTCATTTTTACTCCACTGTGGTCCAAGAAGATGCATGGCAAAATTTTGATCTTTTGAAATTTGTTTATGCTTGATTTATGATCAAGTATGTGGTCGATCTTAGAGTACATTCCATGTGGTCATGAGTAGAATGTATATTCTGTGGTGGATGGGTGGAGTGTTCTGTAGGTATCAATTAAGTCCATTTGGCCAGGAGTCACATCGAAGTTCCAGATCTCATTGCTGACTTTTTGTCCCGATGATCTGTCTAGGGTTGTGGGTGGGGAATTAAAGTACCCAGCTATGATAGTGTTAGAGTCAACATCTTTTTTAAGTTTACCTAGAAGCTGCTTTATGAAAGTTGGTGCTCCTATGTTGGTTGCATATATGTTTAGGGTGGATATTTCTTGTTGATGGATTGAACCTTTTATCATTATGTAGTGGCCTTTACCAAATAAATAAATGTCTATTAGATCAGTAACTAACTTATCTTTGCAGAGCATTATAGTACTCATTTCAATATTATACATTTAAATCATCAGTTATTTAGCACCAATGAGCTCATCTAACATGTCTTTTCCTCCCTTCATTCTCAGAAAAGCTGACACCATAATTAGCACTTTGCTTCAGAAATCATGACCACTTGACTCCTTCTTCAGCAAAACTGGAATTACTGAGAGGTCTCTACCACATAAAAAAAGCAGAGTCCTGACCCAGTTGTCCAAAACTGTTGTGTGCCATCACTTCTGAACTCTGTGTGTAAATCCTACCTTACTATAGGACAAGCAGAGTGAGGATGGAGCAGGGGCAGTTGAGGGGGTGGTGACAGAGCTGAGAGTAGGGATCAGGAAGTGGTACAGTTTCATCAGGGGTACAGATGTCCCAATGGCCAGCAAATAGTTGATAATTGTAACTTCTATGACACAACACTCTTACTAGATAAAGATCCCAGTGGCTATTGTTTCTTCTAAGAACAATGGTTTCCAGTTAACACATGGCACAGTCTGTGAGATGATGTAGTGCACTGACCTGTATACAATACACACTCATGGAATTAAAGGATTATTAGGATACCGGATGTCCAAACATTGCCAAAATGTGAACCCACAGAAATAATAAAAGTGCAAGCAACAGCAGTATTCAACATTGAAAGGATGACAGCAACTTTGTTCCACATAATCTCACGTGCCAATAACTGGGCCACAAAAGCCTGGCAACATTAGAAGCATATACTGTAAGTTCTATTTCTCTTTGTTTGAAAGGGTCTGGGGGTAGTACATCCTAAAGAACCACAGCCATTCCTCCTCTCTCTAAATATATCAAGACACCAAAATGTGAAAGGTGAAAGATGAAAGGTTAAGGAAAGATCAAAGCAATAAATCAATACATCCTTTTAAATGAAATATGAATAATACATATATGCTATACTCTATTACAACATGGGCATTAAGGAGGAAAAAAAAGAATGAGAGAAATAAATTAACTGCTAATAAGCAAACTCATAAATCCTAAGACCTCAGACTAATGGAGCTAAGCACAAAGCCACAAAAGCACCAGTCCTCAGACAGACAGCTCTGCCTGAGCTGCAAGTACCTCCAAATGACCCTGCTATGCTCACTGGCCCCAGGGAAACAAAGGAGAGGCAAGGGAATGACAGCCTCCCTGCTGACCTCCACCCAGGCACTTACACAGCTACGGTCACTAGATGCCAACTACTGGTGAAAAGCTAGCGAAGGGAGACATGAAGGCTGTGGGCAACTGAGAACTTGGTAGACACCAGAGAACACAGCATAGCCCAGAAGGCTAGTTCCAGAACTGTCAGGCCCAAGTGTACCCAAGCCATACACATACTCTGGATCGATATTCTGCTGGTAGAAAAAGATGGCTGTGAGATCTCCAAGAGAACATCAAAATCAAACACCAGTATCACAGGCAAATTCTTGAGGTATATTTCCAAACAGTGCATTCGTTTACATGCATAGTCTAAAAAAAAAATTTTTAAGTTAATATATACTTATGCAAAGCCACAGAATTTCAGGACTCCTAAAGGGATCTTAGAAATCTTCCAATTCAATCTTTTTAAATTTAAATTTAAATGTTAGTACAGACTGTTAAGTAACTCAACTGCAATTTAAAAAAATACAAGAAAGTGGCAGAAACAGGACCCAACTCCTCCGGTTTGTTCAACACTTTTTTCAACTCAGGGAAAGTAACCTTGAAAAGTGGTTGGATGACAAAGGCACAATTTTATTGGTCACCATGATAGCAAGCAACAGACAAGGAGTATGCAGTTGTAAATTCAGTAAGAGTACACACAGCATAGCTGAAAGTTTGAGGAGAGTGAAAATCTAAAATGAAGGCAAATTTTAAAAATTAACATTAAATTGTGAAAGCCCTTTTAGTTGGCAATCTATTGCTTCGATCCCAATGAAATCTATGCATTGTGCAGCCTAATTTACAATATAAGGCCAAACAGATCTGGAAAAGTACAGCTTTATCCTTGTACTTAATTTATACTATAGTGTACTGTAATTAAGCCTGAAATAAAAGCTATATTCTGAGTAGAGACAAAAAGCTCTTGTTAATGACATTCCATTCCCAATGTAGAAAGTAACAAAAGGCTTCTTCATTTGGAGCCAACTGTCATTATACTTTGTAGCTTGTATGGAGCTATTGGACTAATATTTGTACTGGGATTAGTGGGGGGATAACCAATCAGTTAACTCCTCAAATACATGGACAAAAGGAAAAAAGAAAATTGGCAGGTAGAACAACAACTATATTTATGAGATTAAACTCTCAAACCCTTCACAGTTTGCCAGGCAACTAATAACCATTTGCCAAGCTGTTCATTTAATAATGAGTCAGCTAAGCCAAAAGCAAATGTTCCTTCAACCAACCAATGCTACTACAGTCCTATCCACACTGACAAGCTCCAGTTATTTATGTAATGTACTTCCTTTCAAACAAGACGTATGAGATGCCACGTAAGAAAAACAAACTCCTCTCATAGCCAAATGCAAGCCATATTGCTTTTTTTTTTTAATTTTTGACTTGGGGTCTCACTCTGTCACCCAGTCTAGAGTACAGTGACACAATCAAGGCTCACTGCAGCCACAACCTCCTGAGCTCAGAGGATCCTTCTACCTCAGCCAGCAGAGTAGCTGGGACTAGAGGCACATGCCACTACTCAGCCAATTGCTTTATTTTTTGTAGAGACAAAAAATATGTTGCCCAGGCTTGTCTCAAATTCCTTGGCTCAAGCAATCCTCTTGCCACGGTCTCCCAAAATGCTAGAATTATAGGCATAAGCCACCATGTCCAGCCACAATGCATTTTTTAAAAAACAACTCAAATTTATGTGATTTTATAATTTATGAACGCCAAAATGGCCAACAAATAATTCAGGGAGCAATTTCTACTCGCGTCACACAGTCTGTACCAAGGGCCAGAAGCTCGCCATCCCAAACTACCTTCAGTAATCCCATGATACTGGGTTATCCTACAGACTGTGTGCCCTTGATGTGTGAAATGGAGTGCCAATGCTGAGACCGTTCCCCTCTGGGGATTACACAGACTGAGCAAAATACTGTTTGTCAAAGCAAGGATGGTGTGCATTATACAACACAACAGTAAGGTACAGGTCTCATTAATCCAGAGAGCAGGACGTAGTGAGGGATGCTCTCCAAGAAATATAAGTGTCCAAATAGGAGGTAACACCTTGCTCTTCTCCTACCCAGCTCCATATTACCGTAGGTTAAGAAAGCAACCAGCAGGTATCCCCTGCACTTTTACTTACTAATAGTTCATCCATACTGGTCTGGCATTTTTCCAAGTTGATCCGCTTTATTGCTACACGTTCTTGCCTGGGTTTGCATAGGGCGGCCTGAACCACAGCAGTAGCTCCACTGCCTGCAACGAAATAACAACAACATAAGCTCTCAAATGGCACACTGTCGGGCTACTATCTGTGACCCCTTTTCTAAATAAAAATCCATCTTCTTAAAGTCTTCTACTCAAAGCTATTCAAAACATTACCCTTTTGACATACTTTAATGTGTTTCTTAAGTTCTAAAATAATTATCTGGAGGAGGAAAAAAAGGAAAAACTGAATTTTTCAAGACAACGTATGTCTGAGAATGCAGGGGACAAGGGACATGAACATCTATATACAACCCTGCACGGAAGCCACTTACATCTCACTCAGGTCCTGTTATTTTCTCTCTTTCTTTTTTTTTTCAGTTTGTAATTTGTAATTATAATTAGCCAAAAGATGTTGTACCTTTCAAGTGTATGACTGAGCTAAATGATGTCTAACAATGACTTCATTAAGTAAATGTTTGAAAGTATTCAATCTGGGATTAACAGTAGTAAATATCTGTCTGGGGATAGGGAGACACTTATCAACAAGGGTACCTGAACGAAGCATATTTGTATACCTAACCCTTAACTGTACCCCACAATATCATAATAAAAAATATTGATTAAAAAAATATGCATTTATATTGAACTAGGCTTAATAATAAAATACTAAATATAAAATAACAGTTAAATAGAGCTATATTTCCATCTCCCAAAAAAATGCATTTTGTATTTTCCTTTTTGAACATGTACTTATGCTGATGAGATACAAGCTCTGTCTTTATATTTGATTAAGAGAATAAAGTATAACAATAACAAAAAAAAATATTCAACATTAAGTTCAATTTACTTCACATTAAAATCTGCAACTACATTACAATCAATTCTTAAATATTTCACATCAACCAACTGGAAGTATAGAAGACTTGCTCTCACATAATTCTTCTCAGGTGACAGAGACTGAAAGAAGCCTGACCTGAGTCCAAGTCTCCAACCAACAATCACTAAGTCATCACTGGTGAACTCACATAAGGGAACTTCAAGGTTAAGAGGTATAGACCCCTTCCTGATGCTGCCAGATGCATCATGGTGTGATCCATGTAAGGGCAGTAATAATCACCAAACTCCAGCATTTGCAATGAGTATATACAACCAAGATGAGTACAGACACCTATCAAGATAACCCATTCAGGTTCCTTTACTTGTTCAAAATCATTCTGTGGGTCCCTCAACTGAAACACTGCAACTGCAGCTTCCTGGTCAGTTTCTTTCTTGGTTCTATGGCACACAAACAGAAGTTTGCCTCTCCATTTGAAAGCCATGTTCTTGACTTATGGAATATCAGATAACTTGATTTCAATTTTTGACATGGCCAACACATCAGCAGAAGCACCCATGCTAGAAACAAACTGGGAGACAACATCCTTGGTAACATATGCCACACCCACAGTAGTTATTGCAGTTACCAAATAGGAGAAACATTTTCTAGCCTTGCTGCTCTCTTTTGAAGATTTTGCACTATCTAAAACTTCAGTGTGACAGTAATCAGAGAAGTCAGGCACTTTGACATCTATATGGGAATAACAAACAAAAGCAGGGACACTGAGGCCCACGAAGGTGACCAAAGGACGGCCCATGGCCTGACCACTCAGTGACTCCTGGCACAGGAAGTATTGTTTCACATCCAGCAAAGGTGGCTATGAGGTGGCAGGCACCACAACCTTCCCCAGGGCTGCAGTGTGCCTGCCGCCCCATGGAATGTGGCCAATGTTATGGGCAATGAACGGGCCCAAGCAGGCAGCGACTGACCAGGTCCTGGTATTTTCTAATTTCAGTGACTTTCAGATATCTCAGGTTCTTTTTTCCATCTTAGCCCAAACTAAACCACTCCAGCCTGAATTACTTCAGGCCCTCCATGAGACGCCGTGACAATTTATCTGTTCTGAGCACTCTTTGAGCTTATTTCTTCAGAGCTTGCTCTACAACTAGAAAAATAGGAATCAATCCTAGTATACTCATGGTAAATGACTTTCAAGGATGCCAAGCAAAGTGATGCAAATGTGTAATTACAAAAGCTCTTGGCATTCAAATAAATTTTTCTATTCCTAAGGTTTCATGATCATTAGCTAATGCACTCAAACTCCTAAGAGACAGAGTCATGTCGTTATCCATATTTTATAAGAGCAAAGTGTAGACATGTAATGATTTGTGGCAGAGCACAAAGAGCTCCTAATCGGCTTTATATTCCATGGGGGCAAAAAGGCCCCCAGGTTCAGGCATCTCAATTCTGCAAATAATACCCAAAATGTCATTCTTATCACATAAATCCACTCCTACTGTAAGACAGCCAATGAGAGAAACAGCCTGTGTAAAAGGGGTCAGAGGTGAAAATCTTTCTCCCTAAAATTTTTCTTCAGGTAATACTTCTCAAATGAGTTATATCATCATAAAAGGGAGAGCAGGAGATTATTTTAGGCAACAGGAATGAGAGATCAGTATGAGTTTTCCTAATATATGTGATAGAAAGGTATCATTCTTCTGGTGCAAATCAAGACTTTCCCACTTCCAAGGAAATACCCAAATGGGTGACTATGGGGCTGGAGTTTTGCCCTTTCTTCTGCCCTGTGACATCATCATCAGTTCTGGCCCGCTGACCTGATGACCCCAGTGGATCACTCTAGTGCTCCAAACTCAGGTCTCCAGCTTTCAGACTGGGGAAGAAAATCCACTCATACTGACCCCTCACTACAAGTGGGCATTTCACTGATATAAGTCTTCTTACAAGCCTGTATATATTTTTTGTTATTAATTTTATTTTATATGGGAGAAAACTGGAACTCAGAAAACTTGCTAAAGTCACACAGGTACTAAGTACCTGCACCAGGATATGAGTCAAATCTGCCTGACTCCAAGTTCTGTGTTTTTGTTCTCCTTCACAAGAGCCAAAGCATCCTTCCCCTTCTCATTTGCTTTGGCCTTGCTTGGAAAATATTTTTCTGAAGGACTGAAGTCCTATAGGGTTCAACAAAAGAGAAACAACCTAGAGGAAGGAATGCATGAGCCTCACTCACTAGCACTCTGTTTGGAAAGAAAGTTCAACCAGCAGGTTATTTAAAAGGGTCTTCACTAATACCACTATTCCTCTGTCAGTTGCTACCCCATCAGCTGCTACTACAGGACCCACCACATTGGCCTCATTGGCCCTACATGTTGGGTTCAATCCAGAATGCTCCAGATACCAGAGCCAAACACTACAAAGAGCCCTGCCGATAGCTATAGCTAAGTGTATTTTACCGTCTCCAGAACAAAAGACCATCACCAAAGGGAGCCCAAGAGAAAGTGCTAACTAGCTGGTTAACACTGGGTCTGGCACCCAGCAGAGAAATCAACAAACATCATTAGTTGCTGATAGGAAGTCATCCTCAGCTCTGCCTGCAATAAATCTCTCTCCAACTCCACTCCTCCATCCTTAATCCACATACCAGAACATTCTCAAAATAGGGGGAATAAAAAAAAGGAAAGAAGAAAACAAATTCCCAGAAAAGACAAAACAAGTGTTTGTAATATGGGGCTACCTCTTATAGTTAGTTAAGTCTCCTGACTTTCAGGGACACATGCAAGAATGTGAACACAAATAAGAATTCTAAAAAGCCAGGCTCAGTGGCTCAGTCTGTAATCCCGAGCCTTTGGGAGGCTGAGGTGAGTGGATTGCCTGAACCGGCAGGTTCGAGACCCGCCTGGGCAACTTGGTGAGACCTCATCTCTATAATAGATCAAAATGAGCCGGGCGTGGTAGCACGTGCCTGTAGTTCCAGCTACTTGGAAGGCTGAGGCGGAAGGATCGCCAGAGCCCAGCAGGTGGAGGCTGCAGTGGCCGGGAGCGGCCACTGCACTCCAGTCTGGGTGACAGAGTGAGACTCCAACTCAAAAAAAAAAAAAAGAATTCTAAAAGTGGGGAGACGGTGGGTGGTGAGGAAAGTCCTTTATTAGAGCTTCACAAGTATAGAACTGTTACTGCTTTACATCTACAGCCAACTAAGGCATAAATGGCTACTTTTCATCTCCACACAGAAAAAATATGAAGCTTCGTGACATCAGATCATTGTCACAGCATGAATAGATATGACCCTTCATTAAAAAATTTGGGAGATTCTACTCTGAATCCAAAGATTTCCTTCAACTATAAGAGAGACCAAGAAGAAAATAAAGGTAGAAAGCACCTTAAAGACCATCAAGTCCAATCCCTTACTTTATGGATAAAGAAACAGGGTCTTGTGAAGGATAAGGGAGTTTTTTCCCTCAATAATTGAAAAACATAGGATTAGGACCCAACACATTCTTATTCCTTGTCTACCATTCTGTGTACAAGGTTGGTGTTTTTACAAATTGCCAGTGAGGATCCATTGGCCATGAAATCAATTTATTGGCTGAAGGCTAGCATTTTTTTAAGAAGTAACAGAATGTATGAAGGGTAAGAATCGCCATATGAGCCGGGCTCGGTGGCTCAGCCTGTAATCCCACACCTTTAGGAGGCTGAGGTGAGTGGATTGCCTGAGCCCACGGGTTTGAAACCTGCTTGGGCAGCGAGACCTCATCTCTACAATAAATCAAAAAATCAGCCGGGCATGGTAGCGCATGCCTGTAATTCCAGCTACTTGGAAGGCTGAGGCGGAAGGACAGCCGGAGCTCAGCAGGTCGAGGCTGCGGTGGTCGGGAGTGGCCACTGCACTCCAGTCTGGACAACAGAGTGAGACTCCAACTCAAAAAAAAAAAAAAAGAATTGCTATATGAAACTTATTTCAGTTATACCCAAGCTGAAGTAGAATATGTTTTACTGTGAGTGATAATCAAAAGCTTAAAGTCTGCTGTACTAGGAGTCCCAAGATTAGAGTAAATTCATGCTTTGACAGAAAAGGAGGTGACCTAACTATATAATTCTAAAGCACACTTAGAAATAACATAAAGACTGTCTTGCTTTAAGGGTTTTTATGCACGTTGCTGAACAGTTTAAGAAGAAGCTAAAAATGTGGGGCTTGTAAATCCAGGAATCGGACAAGAATTAGCAACATGAAATAAAATATTAGCAATTAATATGTTAAACAGGACCCTGTATCTATTTTGAAGAATATATGACATTTACTCATAACTCACTAACTTTGATAGTATATTCAATGAAGTGCCATACACTCCTTTGGGTTTAGAGGCCCTTAAAATGAGAAGTTTTAGAAACTTCTCATTTTACTCCTGACTCCTATTTCAAGCTATATAAATCATTCCATAGGGTTATGGCCTATATGCACCAGCTAAAAGAGCATGGCTTTACTGAGAGTTCACTGTTTTAAGTCACTCTGTCTCAATTCACTTTTGCTAAGTAATTCCAGACCAAGAACAGCTACTTAGAAGTTTAAGATAGTAATTATGTCAGTGGTCATTAGAGGCAAGATATTCCTCAAGTTCATTTCCAAGATGCAGACTTTCCCCCGAATTGATGCTTCCTCTCATTTTCCCCCTTGTACTGCTGCTAATATTAAGGGAAATCACCAGAAAATTGCATAGCTGCATTTTACAAATTTAGTTATCCGAATAAATATTTCTTGAAAACACAATTTAGTACTATAACTTAGTATTTCAATAAGTTTGTAAGAAATTAACATGAAAAACTTTATTGCTTCTTTTGTAAAAATCACTACTATTGTAAATTACGTCAACAGTATTGACATACCCTATAACCCTAACAGTACCCTATAACCTACACAATAAATTTCTCTTTGTACTTAGTATTAGGGTAAAAATATTTTCCTCATAAATAAGTTAATAGAGAAATATGTACTGTCACATTTTCCTTTTTTGTACTGACAGCAGAAAGCCCAGATCTCAACTTTACATTTAATAACAGTAACTATCTTTAGCACAAGTTTACTCTAATTTCTTCTCCTTGCCCACACCATGATACAATCCTTACTGCTTTATGCTTAATTCAGTGGTACTTGCATTGCATAAAGCAATGTTTCTAGAGTCTACCAAAGCGCAACCTTCCTGAAACATCATTACCTGACCACCATATGTGAAACACTTTCAAATGTGTTTCACAAATACAAGAAAACTTTAGGCACAAAAAAAGCAGCAAAAATGTGTTCGCTTATATTAATTCATCAACAAACAGTAATTATACCATGTGGCAGGCAATTGCTAGATAATAAAATCCGAAGGTGACCATTCTTGTTTCAAATGAAAGAAATACTTCATTAGGATCACTTCCTATGCAAATGTTAGGAGGGATAACTAGAATGCTATTGTGAACTGATTGTTTGTGTCCCCCCCAACCCCCAATGTGACTATTGTTTGGAGTTACAGTTAAGGGTAATTACTGTCTTTATAGAGGTAATTAAAGTTAAATGAGGTCATTAGGGTGGAGACCTGGCCCCATAGGATTTGTATCCTTACAATAAGAAACAACAAAGAACTTACTTTCTCTCTCTGTCATATGAGGTCACAGCAAGAAGGCTCCTGTTAGCAATCTGGGAAGAGAGCCGACCCCAGAAACTCAATCAATCAGCACACTGACCTGAACTTCCCCATCTCAAACTGTGAGAAATGAATTTCTGTTGGTTAAACCTCCCAGAATGTGATATTTTGTTATAGCAGCCCAAACAGACTAATACAAAAGCTTCTCAATGTCTGTTCTAAGGCACTCTCCCACTAATACCTATGGTGAATAATGCCATACCAATTAGAAGTTCTTAGAAACTTCCTAATTAAGTCAACAACTACAGGCAAGATTCAACTGAAGGACCTCTGGTAGGTCATTGTAATTCCTAAGTCTTA